ATCACTGCTGCAGTTCATTCGACAATTCTATTACAGAGTTAGTATAAACATATAGCTTAGATAACATACTTAGTTTTCAGCTGGTATATTTTTTCCATGTACTAATAACTTGTGATAAATAAATGTTAACATCAATATATTTTTAATGCAGAGTTGTGTTGCTAAAATATTCTCAAAATGCAAAAAATGTTCAGTGCAATAATTAGAAGTTAAGCATTCTTGACGTGTTGTATTCGTTAAAATGGACTATATCTTAATATAGAATTTAAATAAATCAGCATAAAATGTTACTATCATTATGTAACTTTATTTTATATAATATGTAATAATACATATAATATTTTGACTCCTATATTTATTCAGGGTTATCAATGAATCTATCAGTGAATGGAATGCAAAGTTCCAAACTGCTAAAAATGAAATGGTTCCTCAAGCAATTGAAATTATAACTGCGATTGATTATGAGTCGACGAGTCAACCGATGTAAATAGTTTAAGCATTTTTGTATAATTAATTAAACCGTTATATATATATATATATATATATATATATATATATATATATATATATATATTGTAACCACCGACTCACCCGATTACCTGGTTCCTTCCGCGATTCATCTTTGCCCGGCTGTTTCGTCAGCAGACTCCCTAGAGGGAGGCATGCGTGATTGCCTAACTACTAGAGAGAAAGACTTAGGCATTTTCTTAATACTACTTAATTCACTTTTGAATTCAGTGCCGGTGAAGTCCAGTGACATAAACAAACTTACAATTAACTTATAACTAATCTTAACTTAGAAAAGGTCCCGTCCCATCGTTCGGCTTCCGTCACACGAGTCGAGCTGCGATGTGTGCGAGGTGGGGTGGCATTCGGGGCAACCAGGCACGGAAATAAGTGGCCTCGCTACTGTCTCAAAAACATGTGTTCTCGCGGCTGCCTCACAAACAAATCATGTCGCGGCTGTCTCACAACACAAGTGATCCCCCTGCCACCCCCGAAACAAGTTGTTCTCCTCGCTACCTCCGACACAAGTATCGATTCCTTCATCGGCGGTCCCTCAGGAAGGCTCGCGTGCCACGTTGATTCCTCCCCCGCATTGTATATTCCAATTGGTTGTCGCGCCACCCGTAGATACTTTCGCCTATGATGGCGCCAGCGGCAAAGCCGTCCCCCGGCAACTTCCCCCGAAATTTCCTCCGTCACTTAAATTCTAAGAACTATGTGCGGGTAGATCCGTTGCTCGGTTTGGGGGTGCGGGTGGCGTATTTCCCCATACGTCAAAGGGCGCGTCCGGCGTGGGTTGCGCTGCACAAATGAGGTGCTTTTCCTCCTGTCCCTCGGCGCGCTAAGTGGCTCTCTCAGGTACAGCAGTAAACGGCATTTCCGGCAGCTCTTAAGGGCGGTGCTGTTCTTAATTAAATAAAATATTTTGTTCGTGTCGTCATCTGCTATGTGCGACCGTCCCATTATATATTATAATCTTTCTAGAATATTTGTTTATATTACAATACATTATTATAATAATTCATTATTTTCTTTTTTAATTACATAGAATTTCTACCGAATGTATACAACTGCAAGAACATAAATTTGATGAAACCATAACTTCGACTGATCGTTTTGGTTGGAAAAACAATCCAGCTTTGTGGTGTATTAATGAAGCTACACGTGATTATGTTGCTAAGCATGGGTTCGAACAAAACAAAAACGCTGACTTCTAAATCAAGAAAAGAGTACAATGATGGCAAAGGTCGTTACTTAACGAAAAAAATGTTTGAGTATGCGCATATAAATTTTAAAAAAATGCCTCGCAAGTGGCTTGTTTACTTTGAGAGCAATGGAACTGTTTTCTGCAGTGTTTGTCTATTGCTTTCAAGCAATTCTGAAGAACAAAATTATCATCAGAGGGATTCAATGATTGAAAAAATGCGCACACCAAATTAAAAGAACATGAGAATTCTACATGTCATAGAAACTGTACGTCCGCATTGAAAAATAGACA